GGGTATCCTTATACAAGGGGATCATACACTCACTATATAGATATGGGGTTTCTTCCCATAGCCATTCATTCGTCATACTCATCAATATACACAGAATGACCCCTGCCTGTCTAACTGCTGCTCGATACATATTTTATTACGCCCCGGCTAAGCTACTCAGGGCTCGTGTGGTTATCTACATGTTCTCCACCTTCACTCATATCCTTGCCTCCTAGAAGCCCATACAAGTCTTGTCCGTCTCCGCATATGTTATCTTCAGTTTTGCATGCCGATGCTGCGGTTGCTCTTGGAGTTAGTAACAGGCCATCTTGAGGTGTCTCCCAAAGTGTTCGGCGTCCTGTCGTCGGCGACCGAAGCTAGTCCTGCTGTCGATGGCACGAGGGTGCGTGGGGGGTGTCGTCGGTTAGTGTGTTGATGTAGGTGGTGTGTGGTTTCGCTGCTGGCTGATCTGTGCATCCAGTCTCTCCGTGCTCATGGCGAACTTGATCGTCTCTTTTACCATATCTACGTTTGGCGACCAGTCATCAGGATCGGACGCGCTCTTTCCTCCGAGAAAGTACGATAGGTTCCCTCTATTCGACTCCGTCTGTTGAAGCATCTGAGTTCGTTGTGCCGTCCACCATGTGCAACGGAAGAGAAAATGCTCTACCGATTCTGCCGCCTGCCCACAGGCGCAATGCGCCGAGGCAGTTGCTCCGACCTGGTGCAGGTACCAATTCAGTCTTGCCATGCCGGTGCGCAGTTGCGCCAGGATACTGGCTTCTTTCCAAGAGAGCTCATCATACAGCTCGCGCGTATGCCTTCCTGGTAAAGCCACATCGATCTTCTTCGAAAATGCTCCTACGTTGTCGGGCAAAGCTCCGTACTTCTGTCGCACGCTCTGCAAAGCGATTCTAAGTGCCATCGAGTAGGCTCTGGCCGGTCGTTTCTGCGGTGTCCTGCTCGGTCTCGTGCTTTCCTTTGCTGCTGCTTTAGCCGCTTTCGACAGGTCTGATTCTGTTGCTGATGGAAGCCAGAAGAGTGTGACTCTGTTGCCTTTCCTCTGAAGATCTTGCACGCCGGCGTATAGTTAACGGATCTCTCGTTGGCCTGACTGCTGCCGCGGGTTACGGATGGCTAGTACAGCCGCTTTGTTGCGGGTGAACACGTGGATGGCCCGGTAGTCGAGCCTCTGCGGGAAAGACTTGACCGCTTCTGCCAGTGCCGCTAGCTCTGCCACATACGGGTTCTGCTCCGTTCTCTGGCCGAATGTGCGCGAGGCCGTTATCACGCCGCCACCCCCTCTGATTCCATAGCCCACAACCCCGTTTCTTGCCGAGCTCCCTGTCGCTATCCTCACTGCCCACCCGGACTGGATTGCTTCTGTGACCTTGACCATGTCGTCGTCGACTACTGTATCAATACGGGCTTCCCATGGGGTGATCGAATACCCTTCGATAGTCTCCAGCTTGTCGAGGGGTTGGTCGCGGTAGGCCTCCGCCATCAACTGGAAGGGTGATGGGAACCGTCTAAAGACTACAGCCCGCAGGCGTCGGAGCGGATGGGTCTTGGGAAGGCTTCGCATTCATACCCAGAATGTCGTTGATTTTCTGTCGTATCTCTCTTGCGCCGATTGTATGCTTGCCTCCGCTTCAGCGACCGCCGTGGCCACTGTGTTGAAGGTTCCCACGATCGCTTGGGCGCCAATCCTCTGCACTCGGTTGATCACCCTCATCTGCGCTGCTTGACATCTATATCTCCAGACGTTCGACGCATAATCCATCGTTGGTGCCACGGCCGCGACGAAAAGCTGTCTGGCCGTCGCCGGAGACAGACCTTTGAGGCGCCTGAGCCCCAGCACGGCCTCCAGCCCTTTTGTCGTCGCGTCTGCGATGTGCTCTTCGAAGCGAAGTTTCGTGTCCATCGTCACCCCTAGTACTTTGACGTGGTCCTTTGGTCGGACAGTGTCCCCTTTGATGACGAAGCTGGTCGAGTCTGCCGGCAGCCTCCAGTTGCGCGTGAAGTGGATGATGGCCGTCTTGTCCGTCTCGAATGCTGCTCCACTTCGTCGTTCCCACTCGAGTGCTCGGTCGATAATGTCTTGGATACCCTTGCGGTTTGCTTCGTGAGATCGGCCCGTGACCCACGCCGTGTAGTCATCGACAAAGGCCAGCGCGCCCCCGTTTTCGTCGATGTGGTGTTGTACGAGGTCGGCATTGAAGAAGAGGAACAGCACGGGCGACAGCGGCGAGCCCTGAGGCAGACCGGCTTGTGGTAACGGACGAGCCTCGGACTCGTGACCGTTGACCAATATGCTTGCTGTACGATGGGAACAGAAAGCGTCGACCCATCTCACAAGCTTCTCAGGCATACCCCGTGCCCTGAGTCGTTGAAGTAGTCTCTCC